GGAAAAAAAAAAATATTTTTGACTTTTTGCTATTAAACATGTCCAGTAAAAAAAAATTATAAGGTCAAATTTATGCCAGAATGTATTCTGCTACATGTCTTTGCTAAAAGAAAATCCCAATATGTGCAAATTAATTTACATGAAAGTTATAGTGTTTACAAATGGCTTCCATCCCCAGTGACACCAGTACTGTGATCAGTGCTATAAAAAAAAAAAAAAAAAAAAGCACTGACACTACTAGTGGCAATGGGCAGGAAGGGGTTAACATGAGGGGCGATCAAAGGGTTAACTGTGCAGGGAGTGTTTACTTGGGGGTGTGTCTATGTGCTTCACTGTAAGCACACTGCTTTGGATAGCTGTGCTGTGCACAGCCATCCAGAGCAGTGAGCCCGAGCTGACAGGGAGGAGAACTGTTAGTAAACAAAACAGTCCTCCTCCCTGTTGGAGATGCTCGGTAATCACTGGCCGGGACCCGGTGATTGACGGCCGCAAATGGCGGAGCGGGTAGGGCGCATGTGTGCTGCTTGCGCACCCCCTACCCGGAAATGCAAAATCACGTATATATGTGATTTTGCACACCCATGCCGCCCTGTAGCAGTATTTCTACTATAGGGCGGTCGGGAAGCAATTAAAAGCTCCTACAGGACATCCATTAAGTTAACTGTGAATTATGGCCCTAGAATATTGCTCTCACTCCAATGTGTGCGGTGATATGTGACATATTGTACAATCAACATTTTCAAGTGTAAGTGCCCCTGACGTGCATTCACTTTTGCACATGTATGTATGTGGGGTCAAGGTTCTCTTTAATAAGATAGCAGGTATGTAAGAGACCATTACCAGGGGGTGCAAAAGCAATCCAGTGGCTGCAGAATCTTTTCCATCTGACAGTTGGTTTGTCAGATTTTAACAACCACTGCTACCATCACCCTGCTTCTACATCAGTGGCAGTAAGCGTTAAGCCCCGGTTCGCACTGTCACATCGCATGTGATTTGCACAGGAATCACACAGCATACCTGTGCAAATCACATGCGATTCTGTGCAGTGCAATTTGAGCCTATAATTTTTTTGGGATCAAATCGCAGGCACCTTTTTTTGCCGCACTGGAATTGGATCGCATAGGTGTTCATACCCATGTGTTCCGCTTTGGGCGACCTGCTTTGGGGTGTCTTTTACTTTTGACACTCGCTGCAGATCGCATGTACATTGTGCAATGTGGGAAACGCAGCAATTCTTGTGTGTTTCCCGCATCGCACTGGTGTGAACAAAACTTTAAAGGAATGGGGAATTCACTAAAACTGAAGCCATTGTGCACAGTGACCAATAAATGTCCAGCTTCAGCTTGTTCAGGTAAGCTATGACAATGAAAGCTAGCGGCTGGTAGGTTGCTATGCACAGGAGCTCCAGATTTTGTCTGCTCCAGTCTTAAAGGATGAGTTCACCTTTGGGAACATGTTACATGTTCCCAGCAACGCCTGCCTCCCCCCTCCCTCTGACAGATAGTATGGGGAGAGGTCTCCCTGTATTTGTCAAATTTAAAAACTGCACGGCCGTACAGGGCTCCGCCCACACGGCTGCGTCATTCATTCATGGACTTCCATGAATGAATGAACTGCAAGTCCTGACAGCCTTAGCTGCTGTGGGCTTGTTGTTTTCAATGAACTACCACGGAGCTGTGGGGTGCCATGGTAGTTCATTGAAGCTTCCCGTCAGAATGTCTGCTTGACTGTACATCTCGTACGGCAAGCAGATATTCTGACAGGTCTGCAGGAGACCTGCATGGCATCAGCGATCTACTGATCGCTGGTGCAATGCTTTCCAGGCTCCTGTAGACAAAAACAAAAAAATGCATTTTTTAAGCGCAAAAAAATGTGCCTTTATTATTTTTGTCTAAAAACCAGCTGACTTTTGGCCTGTGTGTACAGCTCCTCATCCCACAGAAGCTAGTCTTAAGACTGGCTTCTATCAAACAGGCATCTGATCAGTGCTGGCAGCCACTGGCTGTCAGTGCAAACTGGTGGGGGGGGGGGAGGCCCCCGTCAGAACACGATAGCACAGCAGGGGAGCTCACTAACATCGCTTGTGTTAGTACAGCAATCTGTCAGATTTTGTTCATTCAGCACAGTGGTCTCATAGTGTGAACCAGGCAATAGTAAAGTCCCATCATATTTTCTATGAGCAAATATTGTAGGTTTGTTGTAATGTTTTCTAGCTCTGTTCCTCTAATGCAGGGCTCTCCAAACTTACTAAACAAAGGGCCACTTTACTGTCCTTCTGACGTTAGGGGGGAGCCACACCATGGCCATCGGGAGTAGAAAATGTCCCTCAATGGCAGTAAACAATGCCCCATCTTTGGTGTCAGTGAGAGGAATTGTGCTCCAATAATAATATGACAGAGGATATGTGCCCCATTGTTGCTGTCATTGGGAGGATATGTGCCCCATCATTGGTGTCATTGATGGGAATTATGCCCCATCATTGGTGTCATTGATGTGAATTATGCCCCATCATTGGTGCCATTGATGGGAATTGTGCCCCATCGTTGGTGTCAGTGGATTAAAAGTGCCCGAGGGCCAGAAAATAGCAAGTAAAGGGCCGCATCTGGCCCCTGGGCACAGTGTCGAGACCACTGCTCTTAAGTTTTGTTGCAATGGATTTCAAGATCAGCCAACAGATGGAGCTTTGTGCTTGGCTTCCTTGCTTTAGTAGCTGTTGGATTATATGGTTTTTAGTGACTTAGCTGAGCAGTGTAGCAGTATAAGTGGCCCCCTCAGTATGTGTTGATGAACCAGCATCCGTACAAAGAAACATGAGGAAAAGGAGACTGCTCCTCGAAACACGTCAGCCTTAACAGGGTCCCCACAATTTGGAAGCTGAACCTATGTAGTGGTCGCCAGGTATTTGACACACTTTTGTTTCTACAGCGTTTGTGAGTATATTTTGTTCTGGATCAATAAAGCTAGGTAATGCACAAGGCTGGTGTGCCCCCTGGTTTCCTTTGATTTTACAGTTGGTTCCTGCAGGTTTCCCCCTAGAGGGCAGCAAGGCCAGTGCTAACATTTGATACATGGAAGATGTGTGACACTTGCATCATTGTACACCACACAGAGGACCGATGGATTTCTGCTACATAAAGAAACGCTTCCAACTCTGAACACATCGAAAATTTTTTTACTCCTTTATATCATAATGTATTTGACCTTTACTAGCCCAGCTATGCTAGAAGTGGGTCCTTTGAGCTCTGGCAGGGGAGACGGGTTGTAAATATAAATATATATATATCAGGGGCGGACTGACCATTTGGAAACTCGGGCACTGCCTGAGGTCAGTAGGGGGCCCCATGAGATGCCCCTGGTACCTTTTTCATAGGCTTTTTTTCAGTTTAGGCAAGGACACAGGGGCCCCATGAGTTGTCAGTCTGCCCCTGATATATATCTATATCTCTATCTGATGGATGAGAATTTCATGTAATTATTGGTATGGTAGAAAACAGGTATAGAATGCAAACTCCTTCAATCCAAATGAATATCCCGCAGCAACGCGGTTCTTTCTGGAGATTAGCATTGATTAGATCCCAGAACAGATGACAAAGCTCTCCAGAATACTTGGAAATAATACAATGAGAGTCCCCAGATCTTCTGTCATAACAAGTGCATGGACACGCCCCCCACGCAGCATGCATGTCCGATCTAGGGGCCTTCCATGCATGCAATGTATGCCGAATCCCAGATCCTTCCTTCCAGCATACTGGCTGGGCATCACAATCCTATAAACAGGGAGGGGATTTGGGGTCCAGGGGGATTTTGAGACTCCTATAGAGGGACAGAGGGGGGATCTAAGGGGGGAGGAAGTGGGGCTCCTACTGGGGGGCAGAGTAGAGATATTGGGTCCTGTTATGGGATGGAGGGGTTGGGTCTCCTAAAGAGGGATAGAGGCAGGATTTGCAGTTGTATGGGGGGGGGGGGGGGGGTCTCCTATAGAGGGACAGAGGGTGCATTTGCAGTTGTATGGGGGGGTCTCCTATAGAGGGACAGAGGGAGGATTTGCAGTTGTATGGGGGGGGGGGGGGGGGGGGGGGTCTCTTATAGATGGACAGAGGGAGGATTTGCAGTTGTATGGGGGGGGGGGGTCTCCTATAGAGGGACAGAGGCAAGATTTGCAGTTGTATAGGGGGGGGGTCTCTTATAGAAGAACAGAGGGAGGATTTGCAGTTGTATGGGGGGGGGGGGGGTGTCTCCTATAGAGGGTCAGAGGCAGGATTTGCAGTTGTATGGGGGGGGTCTCCTATAGAGGGAGGATTTGCAGTTGTATGGGGGGGGGGGGGTCTCCTATAGAGGGAGGATATTGGGTCCTATGGGGGAAGGGCTTCTCTAGAGAGACGGGGGGGGCTCGTATAGAGGAACATGAGGGGTTGGTGCTCCTATAGAAATTGATTTAGCGTCTAAAGAGGGATAGAGGGAGGGGGGGTGTTGGGGCTCCTACACAGAGTGAGGAGGTATTTGGGGACCTATTGTTGGGAGGGGGGCTTAGGGTTCCTACAGGGTGGGTGGAGGGGGGGGGAGGTATACGAAGTCCTCTGGGGGTTTGAGGCTCCCATAGTGGAACAGGGAGGGGTAGGTTGATTTAGGGACCTGAAGGATAGAAAGAAGAGGGGGTTGGGGCTCCTGCGGAGGGAAGAGAAGGGGGCGGGGAATTGGGTCGGGCTTCTATAAAGGAACGGACAGCCACGAGCTCAGCGTTCGAATTATTCATCTCTCTTCTCACCATACGACCCCGCCCCTCAGCCACTCCCCCTACAGATGGGGAAGGACCTGCGGAGCGTCCCGAGAGCAGTCCGGCGGAGCATCGCGAGAGCAGTCTGGGGACGCGCACGCAGGCGGAGCTGTGAACGCGGCTGGACTGCCTCCTTTACTCCCAACCTGCGGAAGTGTCGTCGGAGGCGGTGCCGGGGGGTCAGGTGACCGGAAGTAGCGGGTGATGGTGTCTCTGTGGCCGGTAGATGGAGGAGGAGACGATGGAAGAAGATCCCAACCACAATCACTGGCCGATCCGACCCCGATCACCGACCAACCCTGACTACCTGAGGAAGCCGATCTCCATCAATCCCGGGACCAACAAATTCTGTGAGTGCGTCACCCCACCCACCCATATATACCCCCACCCTATCCACAGGCCCCTCCCATTTCGGTCCCCGCCCTCTACTCTGTATACCCCAAACATCACGTACCGCACCCACCTACCTATCTGCTGCCTGACCAACAAACTCTGAGTGTGCCTGGCCCCTCCCCCAAACACATAAATTTCTTAATATGCCACACCCCTACCTCTGTACACCCTACACATACCCCTCCCCCATATATTGCACCCCAACCCAATCTACACACCCCTCATATTCCCCCTATACACCCCTTCCCCACCCGTATACCCCCCTATACACCCCTCCCTCTCTGTCTGGGACCACACCCCCTATGAGTGGGGCTGTGCCTCCACCACCACACCCCTCCCCATCTGCCCCTCCACATAGGGACTGGTCAGCAATGGTGAGGGTTGGTGGGGTCATTGGTGGTGGGGAATAGGCAGGGGAAGGATTGGTTAGGGTACGCCTAAAAAAATAAATAAACCTATAAAAATGTACAGCAGAACTAAACCCATCAATATAAATTTCAAAAAAAGTGTGCTGTCATGGCGGCACCAATAACTGTCCCAGGTGCTTGTGCTCTCAACAGATCTGTCAAACCATCAATGGCTGGTGTCATAACTGATCACATGTGCATCACTATGGCAACCGCAGATCAAACAGCGGCTGAGATAGCGGCTTCCTTGGCTGAAAAGGGTAGGAGGGTTTAGTTCCCCTTTAATGTGAATAAATCCCCAGGACCGGAGGGCTTACACCTCAGAGTTCTCAGGGAATGTAGTCCTGTTGTATCCAGACCATTATCCAAATCTTTACCCACATGTCGCCCACTCACATTACATTTTCGGCCGGCGGGCGGCACAGCCATTCTAGGCAACCTATTGGTACATCACCTGGCGCATGCGCTCTAGAGGGCTGTGACCTCTGTGTCCACCAGCGAGTATCCCTGATCACCGCCACATCAGTCATATGATGACACCTTACTGCACTGGTGACAGTATGGGAAAAAAAAAATGTTTTCTGACAGACTCCATGGCAACATACGTATGGGTTTAGTCCCACCCTCTCCTATAGGACCCCACTCCCATAAATCTTTGCTCCTCACCAGGGGCCATGTTCTTTTTTTTTTTTTTTTTCTCTCCTATGGAGTTAATGCAAGTCTTACCTGGTTCCCACATATGGTCCACCACCAAGCCCTAGTTAGCCTCTCCAGGAGATGAAAGGTGACGCGCTGCTTGTTAGTTCCATGGGTCCCCAGCTGAAGGCAGGGTATTGGATGCGCGGATGGATGCTATGCTGAGATTGGCAGAGCAGGCGTCCCCTTATCAATTCCAGCGTTCCTCAGCTAATAGCGGTGTGGAAATGGGCGAGTCGGTGCCTGGAAGAGCTCAGGTCTGCCAATGGTGGGAGAGTGGCAACTTGGGCTGGATAGTCTGCTAACAGCGGGTGGCCATGTAGCTCCCCGAATGGACGAGGCGGTCTCCAAGGCAGACGGCCGTGGTTGTGCGGGGTTGGTAAGTTGCGCTCTGTGCCCTTTGGGTTTTATTGTTGCTCCTTATTTTTCTTTTTTCCATCTTTCCCTGGTGCTTGTTGGTGTTCGAATTATTCTAACACCAACAAGCGACTGGCTCCTGTCTATAGATCTGAAGGGTGCCTACTTTCATGTGCCCATCGGAAGAGATTTTCAGAGATTCCTCCAGTTTGCTGTGAACTATCGGCATCTCAAGTTCGTGTGTCTCCCCTTTTGAGCTTTCGACGTTGCCTTGTGTGTTTTCAAAAGTCTTGTTGGAGGTTGTGGCCCTGATTAGAACCAGAGGCATTTGCCTGCACCACTACCTAGCCGACCTGCTCCTACTATCTCAGGACAGACAACAGCTACTACAGCACAGGGCCCAGGTCATCTCTACCCTTCTCGAGTTCGGGTGGTTGCTGAATATGGAAAAGAGCCAGTTGGAGCCCACGCAATCTCTAATATTCCTCTGGACTCATTTCGACATGATCAGCCCCACCATCTCCCTGCCCAAGGAGAAGATTCCGGTGATCTGGAGCTGAAAACTACCTGCCCTGTCTTCTCTCACACCTTCAGGCCCTCCAATGCCTAAAGATCATTGGCACCATGGTGTCAACAGCGCGATGAAGTGGGCACAGTGGTGAATGCGACCTTTCCAGAAGGGCTTTCTTCAATTCTGGAATCCAGGCAGCATGGGCCAGGTCATTTACATATCTCCCTCCATGAAGGAGAGCCTTCCTTGGTGGCTGCAGCTGAAGAACCTGCTCAACTGCCATTCGAATGCCCCCATCCCTTGGGTCACAATCACTACAGATGCCAGCAACTCCGGATGGGGTGCTCTCTGCCAGTCAGAGATAGCTCAGGGCAGATGGAGCTTTCCCTCCCACAGGTTGGGGTCGAACGTCCTGGAATTACGAGCAGTGCTCTGTGCCCTACAGGCCTTCCAGCACCTTACACAGGGGAAATCTGTCCTCCTGAGGTCTGCCAATATGATGGCAGTGTCCTACATAAGGAGACAAGGTGGGACTCACAGCCTGTCCCTCTTGTGAGAGGTAGAGCCAGTCATGGCTTGGGCTCAGAGAAACCTGTGCAACATATCGGCAGTATACGTCCCCGGAGTCTAGAACTCGCAAGCAGACTTCCAGTCCAGGATTCAATTGGACAACGAGTGGTCTCTCAACACAGGTGTTTTCAAGTGGATACTGATCCTCGGGATCAGTCCGAAAGTCGACCTGTTTGCCTCTGCGTGCAACAGCAAACTGAGGATGTACTACACCAGCAATTGCAGTCCCCAGGCCTTCAGGGTAGATGCTCTGACGGATCAGTGGAGGTTTTGCATGGCTTATGCATTTCCCCTGGCCCCTGTCATCTTCAGGTTCCTTAGGAGGGTCAGAGCAGAATCGGTGGAGGTAGTGGCTGTAATTCCATACTGGCCAAACAGACCATGCTTTCCCTTACTAATGCAGCTCAGCTTTCGAGATCCGGTTCCTCTCCCTCTCAAGCCAGACCTGCTGTCGCAGAGGGCCATTCTTCACCCTTGCCCAGCCCAGCTTCATCTAATGGTATAGTTTTTTAGATGGGGAGGTTGGAGGCCTTAGCCTGTCCTGCTGAAGTCATCCCTACCCTGATGAATGCCAGAAGACAAAGTACCAACAGGGTCTATGGAAGAGTCGGGTCTAAGTTTGTGGACTATATCTCGACCATGGGTGGATCCTTTAGTAATCCGAGGGTTCAGGATGTCCTGGAATTTCTGCAGTCAGGCCTGGACCTGCCACTGTTGGTCCGCATCCTCATTGTTCAAGTGTCAGCCATCTCGGCCTTCACTGGAGTATCATGAGCCTATCACTCGATGGGTTGGCAATTCTTCAAAGGGGCGTATGATTGATGCCCCAGAGGAAACCGAGGTTCCAAAAATGGGACCTTCCGCTTGTCGTCGACTTTTTCCAGAATCAGCTGGGCTTCCCATCGTGAGGGAGCTCTCCATCAAGGCGGCCTTTCTGGTGTTTATTTCATTGGCCAAAAGAGTCTCTGAAATCAGGAACCTTGGCTGTAAAGAACAGTTTTTGACATTTTTCGTGGATCGAGTGGTCCTCATCCCTATGCTAGGGTTCTAATCCTAAAGTGACCTCGGTCTTCCACGAGAACCAAGAGATTGTCCTGCCAACATTTAGAGGCTCGGGAGTCTGATGCTCACTCTCTGGATGTAGGTGAGACTTTATGGCTATACTTGCAGGTCACAGCATCCTTCCATAGGTCGGACCGTCTATTTAAACTTTTCCATGGGAAGAGTAAAGGAGGCCAGGCGTCTACCAGGTCAATCGCGGCCTGGATCGTCCAGGCCATCTAAATGGCCTACAGAGCTAAAGGCTTGGCGCCTCTCATCCAGAAGTGTGGCTACATCCTGGGCGGCTTCCTGGCATATCTCCCCTGAGATGATCTGCAGAGCGGCCTCATGGCCCTCAATCAATGCTTTTATGGCTCATTATTGTGTAGAGCCTGCCTCCTTATCCTCTGTTAATTTTGGTTTGAAAGTCCTGTCGGTTGACCGGGCAGATTAAAGTCTTTGAGTAACTGTCCACCAGTGTGTGTATGGCTAGTTATTTCCCATACATATGCTGCCACGGAGTCTGTCAGGAAAATGGATTTATGGGAGTGGGGTCCTAGAGGAGAGGACGGGACTAACCCCATAGAGTCCATCAGAAAAGGAAAATTATGGTTAGTATTTGATAGGGCATTTTCCATTTCTTCTTCATTTTCCCAAAAAAGTGACAAGTTACAACTTCAAAAAAAATCGCCATGCCTCTTATTAATAGCTTGTATTGTTCACTTTTCAAAAAGGGGGTATGTGTACTGTCCTTGCATTTTAGGGCCTCAAGAAATGAGATGAGTTGTCAGTACATCAGGATCAATCAAGTTTCAAATATATACAGTATAACCACTCGAAGACCAGGCCTTTTCTGACACTGTTTTCATGTAACAATCCATATTTTTTGCTAGAACATCTTATAACCCCCCCCCCCCCCCCCCCCAACATGCTTGCTTTTTTTTTTTTTTTTTTTTTTTTTCTTTTTTTAAAACAGAGGCCCTAGAGAATAAATTGGTGGGTTTGCAGTTTTTTATGTCACACAGTATTTGCGCAGTGCTTTTTCAAACTGTTTTTTTTTTTTTTTAAAAAATGTTACTTTTTTAAAATTTTAATGCAAAAAAAAAACAATACATAACCCAGCTTTTCAGTGATTATAAAAGATGTTATGCCGAGTGAATGGATTCCAAACATGTCATGCTTTAAAATTGCGCACACCAATACAGCAACGACAAATGACGTAAATTTTACTATCCATAGGCGATGCTTTAAAATCCTTTACAAGTTACCACTTTAGATTTACAGAGGAGGTGTGGTGCTTGAATTTCTATTCATGATCTGGCGTTTGCGGCAATACCTCACATGTGTGGGGCGGTTGCAGTTTGTGTGTGAGTAGGACTGACATGTGCGTTCGCCTTTGTGTGCGGGGACGGGGACGCTTTTTATTATTATTTAATCATTTATTTTTTCACTGTCACTTACTTACGAAAATACTTTTATTGCTGGCAGAGGGAATGTAGACATCCCTTGTAACTGCAATAGGCAGTGACAGGTACTCCTTATGGAGACACCTTTTATAAGACCACAAATCTCTCCTCCTGCACTTTAAAGCATTTGATCACACCATGATGATGTCATGTGGGCCTGATGATGTCATGTGGCCCTGACATGTTTTTGGCACGTGATCAGTGACTTCATTATAGGTCCTCATCGTCATGCCTGGAAGTGTGAGTTTGGCCACCTTGGACAATACTCCAGGGATATGCATTGTTCCTGACAAATAAGGTGAATTTCACAATAGATTGGAGGTATTTATTGTAATTTTATTTATTTTTGTGCATTTATTTGTATATATAATGTTGTGTTGGATGTCACACACATTTATTGCATTATATATTTTGCATAGTTTTATTTAGTGGTACCTACACTAGCAGTTGTGCTGCACTTTTTGATATCGATGTCTTTTGGTGTCTGAATGCATGACAGTGATTAGCTGCAACACAAAAATAAGTTTTTGCTTTGTTTTTTTTTTTTAATTAATTTGGGTTAGTGCAGAGGTTTTCTTTTCATTAGTTCGCTAACCCAAAAGTGATGGAAGGTCATTGCTTTTAGGTTACTATCACAGAGTGAAAAAAGTCCATCTGGTCTTTGTTCGGCTCTCTGATCAGCCGGTGGAAGCACCAGTTTATTGATTTGGACTCCTGGTGGGATGGGAGATCCCAGTAAAGCTGTGGGGGTGGGGGGGGGGGCATCCCCTCTTACTGCTTGTAAGTTAGTTAGCCACTAGGATTGCTTTTACAAGAGAGCCGACCGTCAGCTCTGAAAAACGGCACTAGGTTGATGCCTGCAGTTGCAGCCAACATCCCAGTATAACAACCTGTAGTCCAGTGATGTACCAGGTACATGACTTGTCAGTAAGTGGACACTATAGTTTTGTAGATAAGTATAACTTTCGCACACACTAATATACACTGATTTGGGTTATTTTTACCAAAGAAATGTAGCAGAATACATTTTGGCCTAAATTTATTTAGATTGTTTTGCAAAATTTTATTACAGAAATGAAGAAAAGTGTGTGTAATAAATATATATACAGTCAGGTCCATAAATATTGGGACATCAACACAATTCTAACATTTTTGGCTCTATACACCACCACAATGGATTTGAAATGAAACAAACAAGATGTGCTTTAACTGCAGACTGTCAGCTTTAATTTGACGGTATTTACATCCAAATTAGGTGAACGGTGTAGGAATTACAACAGTTTGCATATGTGCCTCTCACTTTTTAAGGGACCAAAAGTAATGGGACAAATGGCTTCTCAGCTGTTCCATGGCCAGGAGTGTGTTATTCCTTCATTATCCCAATTACAATGAGCAGATAAAAGGTCCAGAGTTCATTTCAAGTGTGCTATTTGCATTTGGAATCTGTTGCTGTCAACTCTCAAGATGAGATCCAAAGAGCTGTCACTATCAGTGAAGCAAGCCATCATTAGGCTGAAAAAACAAAACAAAACCCATCAGAGAGATAGCAAAAACATTAGGCGTGGCCAAAACAACTGTTTGGAACATTCTTAAAAAGAAGGAACGCACCGGTGAGCTCAGCAACACCAAAAAACCTGGAAGACCACGGAAAACAACTGTGGTGGATCACCGAAGAATTCTTTCCCTGGTGAAGAAAACACCCTTCACAACAGTTGGCCAGATCAAGAACACTCTCCAGGAGGTAGGTGTATATGTGTCAAAGTCAACAATCAAGAGAGGACTTCACCAGAGTGAATACAGAGGGTTCACCACAAGATGGAAACCATTGGTGAGCCTCAAAAACAGGAAGGCCAGATTAGAGTTTGCCAAACGACATGTAAAAAAGCCTTCACAGTTCTGGAACAACATCCTATGGACAGATGAGACCAAGATCAACTTGTACCAGAGTGATGGGAAGAGAAGAGTATGGAGAAGGAAAGGAACTGCTCATGATCCTAAGCATACCACCTCATCAGTGAAGCATGGTGGTGGTAGTGTCATGGCGTGGGCATGTATGGCTGCCAATGGGACTGGTTCTCTTGTATTTATTGATGATGTGACTGCTGACAAAAGCAGCAGGATGAATTCTGAAGTGTTTCGGGCAATATTATTTACTCGTATTCAGCCAAATGCTTCACAAATCATTGGACGCCGCTTCACAGTGCAGATGGACAATGACCCAAAGCAGACTGCAAAAGCAACCAAAGAGTTTTTTAAGGGAAAGAAGTGGAATGTTATGCAATGGCCAAGTCAGTCACCTGACCTGAATCCGATTGAGCATGCATTTCACTTGCTGAAGACAAAACTGAAGGGAAAATGCCCCAAGAACAAGCAGGGACTGAAGACAGTTGCAGTAGAGGCCTGGCAGAGCATCACCAGGGATGAAACCCAGCGTCTGGTGATGTCTATGCGTTCCACACTTCAGGCTGTAATTGACTGCAAAGGATTTGCAACCAAGTATTAAAAAGTGAAAGTTTGATTTATGATTATTATTCTGTCCCATTACTTTTGGTCCATTGTCAAGTGGGAGGCACATATGCAAAGTGTTGTAATTCCTACACTGTTCACCTGATTTGGATGTAAATACCCTCAAATTAAAGCTGACAGTCTGCAGTTAAAGCACATCTTGTTTGTTTCATTTCAAATCCATTGTGGTGGTGTATAGAGCCAAAAATGTTAGAATTGTGTCGATGTCCCAATATTTATGGACCTGACTGTATGTATGTATGTATATATATATATATGTGTATGTATGTATGTATGTATATATATATATATATATATATATATATATATATATATATATATATATATACACACACACACATATATATATACATACCTCCACTTATTCAGGGAAGCCTACCCCACCTACACCTAAGAACTGTACTTGAATCACCTCCACCAGATCATCCCCCACAGCTATCACCTTTTGTATCACCTCCCCCTTCCTTTAGATTGTAAGCTCCATGAGCCGGGCCCTCCTATTCCTTCTGTACTGAAATGTATTGTAATTGTACTGTCTCCCTTATATTGTAAAGCGCTGCGCAAACTGTTGGTGCTATAAAAATCCTGTATAATAATAATATAAATATGCACAGCTGCCGCCCTGTAGCAGTATTTCTGCTATGGGGCAGCACTAAAGCGGTTAATAAGAGACACGAGAGCTAAAACTGTAATTCTACCACTATACAAATCTCTGGTTTGGCTTTGAGTATGCTGTCCAGTTTTGGTCACTGGTCCTAAGGAAGGATGAGCTGGCACTGGAGAGAGTGCAGAAAAGGGCAACAAAACTAATAAGCGGACTGGAGGACCTCTGTTATGAGAAACAACTACAAACATTAACCACTTCAGTACCAGGCCCAGAGCAATTTTCAGCGCTCTCGCACTTTGACAATTGTGCTGTCATGCAACACTGTACCCATATGAAATTGGTATTTTTTTTCATACAAATAGAGCTTTCTTTTGGTGGTATCTAGTCTCCACTGGGGTTTTTTCTGCTAAAAAAACCCCTGAAAAAAAACGTTTTTTTTAAGTTTGTGTTATAAAAGATTGCAAATAAGTATTTTGTATTTTTTTTTTTTTCTTCACTGATGGGCACTGCTGACCTGCTGTACTGACGGACACTGTTGACCTGCATTGATGGGCACTGATGGAGCTGCACTGATAATTTGTGCCCTGATGATCAGTGTACACCATGTACTGGCCAGTTAGTCGGCTCTCCTTTCCTCACACAGAGACAGCATGTGGGGAAAGGAAATGTTGATAACTGACAAGTCTGTTTACATGTGACCAGCTGTGATTGGCTCTTTACCACAATCTGTGATCAGCTGTGTCAAAAGGACACATCAGTGGTCACAGAGCTCATCCAGTTGCTCACTCCTGGGGGCGTGCGGGAGGCGCGCATGTGGGAGGACGTCCATGGAGATCCGCACTGTAGCCATCTTTCGTCTATAGCGCAGTTGGCAACTGGTTAAACTTATTTTCCCTGGAAAGCAGGCATTTTAGAGGGGATATGATCTCAGAATACATATCTTTAAATGGTGAATGTAGCATTAGGAGAACATGTTTTAATTTCTAAAGACACGCAGCCACAATGAAGTTAGACAAGAAGTGGTTCAATCTTAAGCCGCGTAGGGGGTTCTTTACTGTTAGAGCTGTAAGAATGTGAAACTCTCACAGTTGGTGGTGTCAGCGGGCAGTGTAGATCTAAAAAGTTTTGTTTTTTTGTTTCTTAACGAGCACATTGTACAATGATGTGAAAAATTGAATTGACATAAAAATACACACGTTAAACTGGAAAGACTAGTGACTTCAGCCTTATCAATGAGGTAACTATAGGTAGATTGGTGGTGAGAAGATGGGGGAGGGGGCTCAGTGATGGTGAGTAGGCAGTGAAATGATTGGTTGGGGTACATTGGTGGTAAGAAGATGGAGGGGGTCAGTGGTGGTGATAGGTAGACAGGGGATGGGTTGGTTGGGGTACATTGGTAGTAAAAAGATGGGGGAGGGGGTCATTGGTGGTGATAGGTAGACAGGGGAAGGGGTGGTTGGGGTACGTAGGTGGTAAGAAGATGGGGGAGGGAGTCAGTGATGGTGATAGGTAGGTGAGGGATTGGTTGAGGTACAGTGGTGGTGAGAAGGTGGGGGAGGGGAGGGGGGGGGGGGCAGTGATGGCATTGAAAAGACAAGGGAGGGGACAGTCTAGGAAGATTGGGTGGAATTGAACTGATTGGTTCTCTCCCCTCTTCCCTCCTCCAGTGATGAATGTGATCACAGTAGAGGACTATAAGCGCTTGTACTGGCCCAAGCTGGAGAGCGCCATCGAACAACTGCTCACACAAACCGCCGGTGACTATATTCCGATATCGTATGAGCAGATCTACAGGTGTGTATCTGGATTGTTCATCATTTATAATATCGTCTGTCATACTGGAATACTTGAGATTGTCTGTGTTGTCACATCCCGTTATCCTAACATCAGATTTGTTGTTCTGTGACATTGACATCATTCTTCTCTCCTGCAGTTGTGTCTACAAATGTGTGTGTCAGCAGCACTCCGAGCAGATGTACAGTGACCTCCTGTGTAAAATCACCCAGCACCTGCATCGGGTCTCCCAGGATCTGCAGGTACTCTGCCCCTATACCCAGCACCCTCATTATGACACTCTCCTCCCTCCCATATCCAACACTCCGTCACCAGTGTGACAATCTACCGTACCGAATACCACCACTCCACTATACCACACACTGCATTCACATTATGACATCCTTTCCCCTCTAATGCTCAACACCTTGTCCTCATATTTTCACCCCTTCACTTTGACACCCCGGCCCCTCCCCCATAACCAATACATGCCATACCCGACACTGCCCACTTCATGACACCCCACCTACTATCTTTCCCAGCACTCCATCTTCCTCATATCAACCCTACCTACCCAACACTTGCCGTTTCATGCCACCCACCTACTACTTGTCCAATACTTTGCCTAACTCCTGAAACCACACCTACCCAACATTCCACCTAACTCATGACACCCCACCTACAACCTGCCCAACACTTCACCTTCTTGATATCACCCCATGTTCATGTTGCCCTGTTCATCTCATAACACTGCACCTACCAAACAACCCACCTACTTCATGACACCCCATGTACCCAACTCTTTTCCACCCCTTTAAACACCATTTACTACATACCCACCTACCCAACACTCCACTTACCTCATGTCAATCCACCTATACAACATTCCACCAAACCAACACTTTACCTACCTCATGTCGCTCCACATACTACCTGTCAAACATGACAAATTACCTATCCAAAGCTTCCTTCACCTCATGAAACCCCATGTACCCAACATTCCACCTACCTCATGACATGCCACCTACCTCCTCCCCAACACCTAATTTTCCTCTTGTCAACCCAACTCACCTCCACCTCATTTACTACATACCCAACACTCCCCCCCATCCACTTTCCCAACACACTCTACCTACCTTATGTCACTCCACCTTCTGCCTGTCAAATACTCCACCTATCTCGCAATGCTTTACCTGCCCAACCCATTTACTACCTACCCACATCTCCCCCATCCACTCTCCCAACTCTCTGCCTAGCTGGTGTCAATCCCCCATACTCACCTACCAATTAACCAACACCCTGCTCATGGCACCCCACTTACAATTTACCCACTTGCCCACTTACCTTATCACACCCCATCCACACAAGGATCCTACCTTTCATCACAGCAGAGAATGGTGAAATCTGATTGCCAGTCTGTTTTTGATGGCTAAAAATGGCAGACTTTTCCTCCTTTGGCACAGTGGAGTCCAGCATTCAATCAGATTATTGCAGTAAGATATTGGATGGTTTCTGATTGGTTGCTGGTTGACATTATTCCATGTTGATGTTCCAGGCGAGTTCTCCAGAGCAATATATAGAGAAGTTTAATGTGGCCCTGGGCCAGTATATGGGGGCTCTACACAGCATCGTCCCTCTCTTCATCTATATGGTGAGCATTTTTCTCTGGTTTCTGCTATCATGATGGTGAAATCAAACTTAGGGTGATGTTCCCTGTATATGGGATGTGCGACTTGGGTACTGGGAGGAGTTAGGAATCTGTCCCTTCTGTGGGTTCAGTCTTCTGTTTGTGTTTCAGAATAAGTTTTATATAGAAACTAAACTTAACCGGGACCTGAAGGATGATCTGATCCAACTCTTCACCCGCCATGTGGCAGAGAAGCATATCTACAACCTGATGCGTAAGTAGGCCAAGAATTTTACCACCCCACCCTGTCATGTGATGACATTGCCCCCATTCATCTTCCATGCCCCTGGTGTTAGTGGTGTTTACCGTACGTTGTACATCCAGAGGACCACCAGGTCTGCTGTGTCTGGCAGGTTTAAAAAATTTGCAGGAGGAGCAAGAGCTTCCTCAAACTACTAAATGCCAAAAAGATTTGAATGTCTATTCAGCGCAGGTTTGAATGTACTTTTACAGTCACATTATATATATGCAATATATTTTGGGAACTCCCATCTCGCCATATGCCTCAACTGGTGAACACCAAGCTCAGCTCAGGCCAGCCAGCTATAAGATGACCCATCTTCTCTTCTGTAACCTGTTTGTGTCTCTTTCTGCAGCATTACTGATAGAAGCCCAGTCTACACCGTTCCAGATCACCCCCTCCACCATGGCCAGCATCATAAAGGGTCTCTATACACTAAGGCCTGGTGAGTACCCTCCGATTTGTGGATGTATGACTGTATAGATACTATAAGACCTTAATACTGACCAGTGGTTGTCAACTTATAAGGTGTAGGGGCTTCAGATGTCTCCAAAGGGTTGCATATAATACATTTTATATGTAGTGCTATAAAGACTCCTCATAGACTGTAAACTAGAGGTGAGCTTGAACATGTTTGGATCCTTGTCTAAATCTGCTTGAGCGAGCCAACCAAGAAGCTTTCACTGTACTGGGCCAGTCACAAGTGGCCGAAGCATTCCCCACCCTGTAGCTGCTTGTATGCACACCCACTGTATATGTGCGGCTGCGGAGAATGCCCTGCTTGCAGGTAATTGGCCTAGTTCAGGCCCTAGCTGGTTGGCTTAGTTGGGTTGGGACCAATATCTTACCATGCCTGAGCCCTTCACTACTGGAGACTTACTAGAAGGAATGGTCAGAGACTGTTCTACATGAAGTCGTGCTGTAGGAGACAGTCAGACTACAGACATGTTACATCTAACTGTTAGAGATTGCTGTTGTTAAAGACCTGTTTAAAAATGAATGCTCCAGCTGCTCACTGCTGGGGCCCATAGACCGCATGTAGGGCACCAGACATACAGACAATGTGACGTGGCCCAGATACTCTATATATAGTATACTGAGCAGAGACTGGGGATGGCTGTACCTGTCCTGTACCATGTGTGACCTCTGCTAATATCAAAATGGTCTCTGCTCTGCTCCCCTTTTCAGAATGGGTCCAGCTCGCACCATCACTCTTCTCCAAATTCATCCCAAACATTCTGCCCCCAGCCTTGGAGTCAGAGCTGCAGGACTATGCTGCCCAAGACCAGAAGCTTCAGAGAGACCTCATGCAGAACGGATTTAACAGGTCAGAGTGCAGTTTAGAGGGAAAATGTTCTATGTATCAAAGGCAATGCAGCGTGTAAACATAGTCATGGCCAAAAGTATTGGTACCCCTGCATTTTTGTCAGATAATACACCACTTCGCCAAGACAATTGTTGCAGTTGCAAATATTCAGGCATTCTCATGTTTATTTTGTTTGTTTGTATTGGTATGACACAAAAAAGTAGAGAAACAAAAAGCCAAATCTGACACATTCCACGCAAAATCCCAAAAATGGACTGGACAAAATTATTGGCACCCTCAATGTAATATTTGGTAGCACACCCCCTTTAAAAAATAACTGAAATCAATGGCTTTCTGTAACCATCAATGAGATTCTTCCACCTCTCTACTGGAATTTTGGACCACTCTTCTTTTGCCTACTGCTCCAGGTCTCTCAGATTGGAAGGGTTCCTTTTCCCAAGTGCTGTTTTGAGATCTCTCTACAGGAGCTCTGTGGGATTGAGATCTGCACTCATTGCTGGCCAGTTCAGTCCTCTCCAGCACTTAAACCATTTCTGGGGGATTTTTAACCTGTTCTTTGGGTCCTTGTCCTGCTGTAAGACCCATGACCTCTGACAGAGACCCAACTTTCTGACACTGGGCCCTACATTGCACCCCAGAATTCTTTGGTAGTCTTCAGATTTCATAATGCCATGCACATGGTCAAGACATCCAGTGCCTGAAGCAGCAAAGGAACCCCAAAACATCAGTGAAGCTCCATTGCTGTATTGTTTTCTTTAGAGGCCTCATTGCTTTTTCTGAAAACAGTAGAATGATGGGCCAAAAAGCTGTAATTTTGTTTAGTCTGTCCACAGCACGTTCTCCCCAAAAGGATTTTTGTCTTCCTCAGGTAAGTTTTTTGGCAAACTCCAATTTGTTTTTTTTATGTTTCTGTGTCAGCAGTGGGTTCCTCCTGGGTCTCCTACCATGGCGTCCCTTTTCATTCAGATGGCAGCATATAGTGCAAACTGACACATTTGTACCCTGTGCCTGAAGGTCAGCTTGAATTTGTGTGGAAGTTGATCGAGGTTCTTTAGTCACCATTCGAACAATCCTTCGTTGCAATCTTTGATCAGTTTTTCTCTTTCGTCCATGTCCAGGGAGATTAGCTACAGTGCCATGGGCTGTAAACTTCTTGACAATGTTGCGCACAGTGGACACAGGAACATTAAGATGTGTTAATTGATACAGGTGAGTTTAATTACAAATTACAGGAGCATCAAAAACTTGGAATGCAATAATTTCTTACAATTTTTTAGAAGGTGCCAATAAGTTTGTCTAGTCCATTTTTGGGGTTTTGCGTGGAATGTGACAGATTTGGCTTTTTGTTGCTACACTTTTTTTGTCATACCAATACAAACAAAAGAAATAAACCTGAGTATGCCTAAACATATGTATTTGCAACAATTTTGTGGGCGAAGAGGTGCATTATCTGACACATTAGAAAGGGAAATGTAATTTTTTCTCATTAATTAAAGGACACATGATTCTGTGACATTTGAATTATACTGCCCCACACAGCAAGATTTGGACACTGGCGAATGAAAAAAAAAAGTGAGCATCTTTTTATAACCCCTCCCACTTTCAACATGCAGCATTATTTGATAGTGTCCTAGGAGGAGTGATGTCTTCTCTTTGAGATAAGCTTACCATTTTTTTACTATTTTTTTTTTTTTTTTTTTTTTCTTCTAATAACCTCCCTAGAGGTCTGATTATGTCCATATTTCTGTGCTCAAAGTGGTCTATTTTTTTTTCCATGGAAATATGTATTTTTTTTTATTGTAGGCCTGTCATTTTTAGGAATAACTCACTGAAATCTGTCCGAACAAGAGTCTAGTAAACATTCCGGGTATGTTAAAATTTGAAACACGAAATCCTAAATTATAATTTAATAAATAATCATGAAAAATAATATAATACATTTAATTCAATAATGTAATCAAACCAAAAACACTGAAATTTGAAATAGAGCGGCAAGTTCGCACATCACTGATCTTAATCGCAAAATCGTTTTCAGTGTCTGATGACGAATTTCCCCACGAATCATTATCACTCAATTCTGCAAGTGGTTCTAATTTACTATCGCTGTTCTCTAGCCGGTCTAAAACTGCTTTTGACCTAAAGGGACACTTTTTTGGACACCATGGACGTTTCTCAGTTTCCAGGCAGAAAGAACAGTAAAAATGCAGGCAGGGCGCCGGACAAAGCACTCGGGACAAAATGTATGTGAAATGGTTTGATACAGGAATGTTTTACTATGTGATTTTAGTGTATTAGTGAATGTCACTTTTTAAAATTTTTAAATTTCCCGCCGGTTACGTCTTGACGTTGCAGGGAACGGAACCCGGAAGACGGATGCCGGCATCAGCCGGAGGAGATGGCCGGGGACACTGCAGGGGACACATCGCGGGAGAGCAGGACAAGGTAAGTGATCGAGGGAATCCAGTGCAATGTTGCAAGGTATTCCCGACTGTAGCTCGGGGTTATCGCTTGTGGTGCTGAAACTTTACCCCGAGCTACACTCGGGAATACCTCCAGAGAGGTTAAGGCTTTATCTACACACTTCTTGCTTGTCTGTCTTGTCTTTTAATGCAGCTATCCAGCTGCTACTGGCTTGCCTTCAGCAATACTTTTCAAGGCTGGAGCCAAGATTGAGGGGCCTGCCTGAAATGTGACATTCAGATTCCGGGCTCTGCATTGTGGCATTTCTCAGATCTTTGTGTACTGTAAATTTGCCCCAAGGCTCTGGCACAGCTTTTGGGAGTTAATTCATTTAGTAGACTTTTTTGTTGTCATTATTTACTAATCTCTATATAAGATCCAAAACCAGGACAGACCTGAATGAATAAAATCAATAAACAAATCCAAATAAAACAAGTGGAGTTCCTGGTCGCCAAGGTACTACACCCCCTCCCAAGGAAGCTAAAATATACACAGATACTCACCGTGAATATTTGAGTGTCCTATTCATATAACACCAAGATGATGTGCTCCTCTTCCTCCTTTTATCAAATATTAACTCCTAATGTAAAATAAATATATAAACCGCACATAGTGCATTAGCTTTTTAAATGCAATAAATCAAATATATATTACAGTCACATAAAAGTGCTATAATAGTGCCAAAACTTCACCATGTGCAATCATTCTCCATCCGTGATTCCTCCTCTTACCCGCCAAATAAAATTCTTTGTTTTGTAAGAGGGATGAATTTTATAAATTACTCCTTTGTTCTTCCTCATTTGTGGTAAATTGTTCTCCAACAAAATAAATATCATATAGTGTAGTATTTATCATATAGCAAACAATCGTGCCAGTGTGCTCACTTTTGACGAAACGCGTTAGTCACCTGACGTCAGACGCTATCCGGAAGTTCATTGGAGGCCATCTTGGTCGGGGACTGAGAAAGAAGCTGTATGTTAGACGCTGATATACACTACTACATTGCAAGTGCTTTTTTAATTAAATAAATGTTTATTTTATTTTCTACACTATGGTCTGCCTATTTTGGTGTGATTGTGATATTGTGGGAGTGGAATATTGGCAGGAGAGAGGATCTTCTGAAATGTAGCAGAAACTTTAAATGTCAGGCTTCCTACTTTAGATTATCTGGTAAGATGCATGAGCCGTGAGGTGGTGGGTCACCTAAGTAATTGTGCACTGATTGGCGGTTGCCAAGTCTGGATAAGTGTAAGCACATTGGCGCGACTGTTGTTCGTTATATAATATATACTACAATATGATATTTATTTTGTTGGAGAACATTCTACCATGAATGAGGAAGAACAATAAAGGAGTAATTCACAAGATTCGTCCCCCCTTACAAAACAAAGAATTTTAACTGGAGGTTAAAAGTAGGAATTACAGATTGAGAGTGATTGCACATGGTGAAGTCTTGCCACTATTATAGCACTTTTATGTGACTGCAATATATATTTGATTTATTGCATTTAAAAAGATAATGCACTATGTGCGGTTTTATATTTTTATTTTTTTTTTTTTGCATGAGAAGTTAATATTTGAAAGGAGGAAGAGGAGCACATTCATCTTGGTGTTGTATGAATAGGACACTCAAATATTCACGGTGAGATCCTTGGAAGAATGAAGGACTTCTAGTATGAACTTTCTTTCACAGAATGTGTTTTAAGGACTTTTGGATTGAATACCAATTTGGACGCTGGGTGTTTGTTTATATTATTTACTAATGCTGAGGAATTTAGTGCTGTGTTAAGGAAGTGCTGTGCTTGCACACTCCACGCTCTTGTTCCCGCCATTATTCCTTATCAACACTCAGTTTCACCCTAAGTGATCCTTTCTGCCACCTACAGTGACCTGGTCCCCTTTGTCCACATGAAACTCTCCTGCTTCCAGCAGTTGGTTCATAAGTACTCAAGGTTTTACACACTTGTACATGCGAGGAGCAGTTCTGCTATACCGGGTCCTTCCAGCTCACAATCCACTAACCATTCCGGGACAGTCTGCAGTGTTTCCTCTGAAGAGCCTGTCATGGACTGCCTGGAATGTTTTTCATAGCTTGAGTCTCTAGATTCCTTGGAGTATTCTTTAGCTCTGTTGGGTGCTGCTCCCTCCTTGGTTCTAACTCTGGAGGCTTTTTCTGCAGTTATGCAGGATTTTGTGGGCCAAATTGTAACTTTGATTGCTGACTCTGATTGCAAAGGCCATAAATATACCTCAGTGCCTTCACAGGCAGAATCCTTATCTGCCCTACCTTAGCAATCTCTGCGCCTTCAGCTGAAAATGAAGAATCTCACAAATCTGTAGGGGATGATTGTTTCTGAGGAGTCCCAGGCAGCTGCTGTAAATCGCAGGTTGAGACACCATATTGACCTTTGTTGATGTGGTGTGTGCCAGCCTAAAGTTGAAGGAACAGCCAAAAGCTTCCTCCAGTGCTGCTACCAGCCTAGGATCCTTAAGAAGCTCTACTAAATCTTCCCATGTACACCCTATTCTCAGATGTCTTGTATACTGACTAGGAAACTCATGACAAACTGTTTACATCTCAAAAACATTTTGCAATGC